CTTTATAACACTAATAGTATACATTTTCACAATATTCTTACCTGTGTAAAATAAACGCAAGCAAATTTGCAGAATTGAAATGGGGCAAGTTAGGGATGCACAAAAACATCCATGCACAAAAACATCGATACATTGGAAACATTGATGTTTGCTATTCGAATCATCGAATAAAACCATTGTATTTTCTCTTCAATATACATCGATATATTTCAATTTGACAGCTGATGCGAATGAATGTTCACCAAATATACATTTTGTATTAAATTATTGTATTGTATTCATTGTATTAATGTCTTTTAGATTATAAATATGATTTTGCAGCTTATAAGAATACCAAGAAACCGATTGACCGATTAGAAGAGTATTGCTGACAATTCAAAGACAATTAATTATCTTTACTTTTACATCATCAATAAATCTATTTCACCTTGAGTTTATACTTAAACATTTATCGAAGTTCCGATTTTCAATTTCCTTGTACATTTTTATTAATTCATTCAATGCATCGAAAATATCGATTTTCATATACGGTGCATGAATTTATATTTATAAATGGGATTTGCAACTATTAAAAAAATAAACATATTTCACTTTGAGTTAATACTTAATAATTTATCTAACAGCCCTATTCCGCCACACTGACAAAACTTTTGGTATTCGCAGCAAAATTCAAAAGCTCGAATCATGCCAATTGTCATTTTTATTGTCATGACCTTTTGGGCAGGTGACAAGGCAAAAACATATGTTTGTGTTGGTTTAAAAAGTGCGATGATTTAATAAATTTGTGAAAAAAATATAAAAATCAACTAATTTCAATGGCAGAACAAATTTTTGTTATTTGCGCAACCGTGCTTGTGGAAGACGAGCAGCTCCGGATGCTCCCTACAAAACTTCACATAAAATTGCAGCTGCTCCTGCGTCGTCCGCTCATATTTTGCACGTCTAAAATATTTATAAATGTTATAAATATACGAATTTATCTATTTCACACAAATACTCACTTTTCTGGTGTTTCACCGCTCATATTTTTTGCAAATAATAGCGTTGACCAGCTGTTTCTACAACAATGAACTTTTCACCATGTCATTTTTTGTTAGGAATAGCAACGTGCAACGACAATGACAAAATCACGACAATGAAGGATGATCAATTGTCATTCTATTGCAAAACCGGAATAGGGCTGTAAGTCCGATTGTTCCATTTTCTTGTATGTTTTCAATTTATTCGATGCATCGAAAATATCGATTTTTATATACGATACATCGATGCATTAGAAAAAAGTCGATGTTTTTTTTGACTTGCATTCCTAAGTCAAACGTGGCGCCATCTAGAGTGACGCCAAATTTAGTCAAAAAGTCGCAGAGTTGCTTTTTTGCAAATAAAGACGAAATTCGATTTTTTTTTAGAAAAGTTCGATTTTATCCGAATTTTAGCACCTCAAAGTTCGATTTCAAAAATTCGCCATTTCGGAGCGAAAATTCGATTAAAATTCGAATCTCGAAGCTTCGAATATCGAATTTACCCATCCCTAATGAGGATACGTGACGTTGTAGGTCGCCTGAAGCTAAATACCTGAAACGATGAAAACCAAAACCAGTCTCCAAATTAGATGCTACAAAGAAATGTCGGATCGAACAGGTAAATAACATACTCTAAAACAATTGCTAATTTTGCTTTCTCGGGTATAAAATCGTATGGTTGTTGTTGTTGTTGTAGCGGCTACAACAACCCCGCCCAGATCGGTTGGTATCTCAGTCGTTGTCCTCAAGTTCCACTAACGGCAACCCTAGGAAGCGTGCAGCTTCTGTGGGATCTGTCCACAGGGACAGGGCCGTTAGGGTTGTCGGGTTGTCCGGGCATGCGAAGAGATGGTTCGAGTCATGTGGGGTCTCTCCGCATGCCGGACATTCGTTCGGCACATCCTCATTCAGCCTACTCAAGTAGGAGTTTAACCTGCTGCAGTAGCCGGAGCGAAGTTGAGCAAGTATAGTGCGTGTCTCCCGAGGCAGATGAAGCTCTGTCTCGTCGATGTCCGGGGGTGGTATGCCTAGAACGGCATTCACAGGTCTAGAGTCTACATAACTCGAGACTGCGTCCCTGTGAATGCCGTTCAGGGCCTGTCTGTACGCTGTCGGGTCCAGAGGTTGCTTAATGAACCTCTGGACTTCGTCGTCCGTCAGTTCATATAGATGCCTCCTGACGTGCCTAGGCGAGGGCTCCTCTGCAAGCAGCTGTCTGTTTGGGTGGCCACTTCTGTGGCTCCCGATCAGGAACTGCTTGCAGAGCATTATGTTGTGCTCCTTAACTGGGAGCATTTGCGCCTCGCCGTGCAAGTGATGTTCAGGCGACATCAGGAGGCATCCCGTCGCTGTCCTAAGTGCCGTATTTTGTCCAGTCTGTAGCTTCGTCCACTGCGTCCTACTAGTCCCTGGCGACCACACTGGCGCTGCGTAGTTCAAA